CCCCCCCCATCCCTGAGCTCCCGCTGCCTCTAGGGGCTGGAGCCTCTTGTCCAGAAGTTCCTATTTTTCTAAGCGTGTTCACTTGTAAGCACATGGAAAGCGGGCCTTAAACAGGCCCATCCTCTTTGTTCTGTCTACAAAGTTGTCCCCTGTGCTGCCTGAGGGCCTCGGCCACAAGACCCACGGCAGGACCTGCAGCCCCAACTCCAGAGTCACTTTTTTGGTTGAGATATAATTCATATAACGTTAAACTAACTGACTTAACTGCCATCCACTCTCCCTCTCCATGCATTTGCCTGTTTGGGACATTTCACATAAATGGAACCATACAATGTGAGCTTGGTGTCTGGCTTTTTTCACTGAACATCATCGTTTTTAAGAGCCGTCCGTGGTGTAGCATTTATCAGGACTTCGTTCTTTTTAAGGCTGAATAATGTTCCTCCGCATGGATTTACCACGCTTAGTTCATCCCCTCACCAGCCCAGGCACATCTGAGTCACTTCCGCTGGTGGGTATTGTGAATAGGCTGCACAGACACCAGTTTTCACATGTGTGTTCCGTTCCTTTGGGCATAAACCCAGCAGTGGAGTAACTGGCTTGATATGCACTTCTATGTTTAACTTTTTGAAAAACTTCCAAACTGTTCCCACAAGGGCCACACCACTTCATATACCCAGCAGGAGGGTCTCAGCTGCTCCACATCCTGCCCACACTTGTGATTTCCCCTTTGATTCTAATAAACATTCTCATGGGTGTAAAGCAGTATCTCAATGGGCTTTCATTTGCTTGTCCTTAGTGAGCAATGATGTTGCGCATATGTTCATATGTTTGTTGGCAATTTGTGTATCTTCTTTGGGAAACGTCTATTCAATTCCTTTGCCCATTTTTAATTGGGTTATTTGTTCCTGTGTCTAAACACGTGGCCTTCGAGGACCTGGATTCCTTGCCCTGCAGTCCACGTGCAAGTGGCCTCTCTGGGCCTCAGTTTCTCCTCTACACACCAGGCTGAAAGGGATGAGGGGAGGATAACTGAGGACCCTGGGCACCGTGCGCTGTCCCACCTACCCCTCCAAGGCCTGAAGTCAAGGGCTGTGCCTCCATGCAGGTGGGCGGGGCCCTGGCTGCTTTCTTCCCTTGCCCCACAATAGACCAGCTGGCCCCTCAAGGGGGTGTGCCTTGTCCACCCTCCCTCACCCCAGACCCCCACCTGCCTCACAGTGACCTCCCTCTCTGCCCCTCTGGTCCCAGGATGACAGTGTCCTTCTTCTGACCCTATTTCCCACCTCACAGAACTGCTTCTCGCCCTTGTTCTTCCTAGATCTCGCCACAGGAAACCTGCCCCTAAATGGCCGCTAGGGCTGCTGGGAGAGG